CACACACACACACACACACACAATCACACACACTCAAACACACACACATACACACACACACACACACACACACACACACACACACACACAAGTGTGCGCAATAAGTAGATCCACCTGATATCAACTGGAAGTGTAAATCTTTAACAGTGAGATAGCACACCTGTAGACATTTAGAAAACTTCCCAATTTTTACTCTTGGGCCTATCAAGAACACTTTCTTATGGCTGTTCCTAGCAGTAAGTGTCAAATGTGAGGCATCCTGGTGAAATCAGGCACGCGTCAAAATAATGAAATCGAAGTAATGGGCACTTTTCTACTTCCACTTAAAAACACATAAATTCTGTGTGGATTTTACCGAAAAATGTTGATTAAAGGCACGAAAAATGTAAATTTGCAGTTTCCAAGGGCTTGAGAAGTTCTTGGATGGCGAGAAGGAACTCATTTTGTAAACATTCCTCACAAATATTAACGGATTTAGGCAAATAAACATTTTATATTACGATTATGTCCTGGATGAAATAATACTTTTTTGCTTCTCCGGAAAACTTTGTATTTTGACATATGATAGCACTGAACAACTGTGACAATATAACTTATAAGGTCTTGGCCTGGTCCTCATGCTGAGTTATATGTGAACCCCCGGGGCGGTGCTACTGACTGAAGTGTCTTTAGGCCATTCCCAAAGGGGGGACATTAATATGTTCTTATGCACAGTAGAATTGCAAATTGCAATTGGGCTGGTTCATCAATGTCATGCTCATATCTGCCTGAACTGCAACAGGGAACTGCTGCTTTTTCTTTCCTAATCCTTACTATAGTCTTTTTTCCTCTACTTCTTTTATATGTTTGTCACACTCTTGTGACCCGCTATTTCCAGGGTGCCTTGATAGTCGAAACAGATGTTGTGCTGTTGAAATTAGAGAGGTGAGCAGAGTAAGTCTGATTCCCTGTAAGGACTTCTCTGTTGACATCCACCCCTGGGCGCTCATATGACCTTATGCAGTTGCGAGTGCCGTAAAACCTCTACTAAAAGAAAAAAGGACGTTGTGTCTCGTCACTACGTGTATCTGTGTGCTGTTTTCTCCACAGCCCCATAGAGACAAGTGTTCTGGCCGAGATCGTACGCCTGTACCACGAAGGCAAAGTCAGTGGGAGTGCCGTCAGTGTGGTGAGTGTCGTGTTCGGTGGCTGGTAACTTAGTCAGAGATCAAGGGGAAAACCACGCAGAACCTGGAGAAGAGTTACAGAAATTGACGCACAGAAAAGTAGGAAGACATGGAAGAACATCAAGAGGCTAGCTGGGGATAGGGAAAAGTGGAAAATGTTTGTTGGTGGCCTCTTCCCTGATCCAGGGTGAGAAAGGCAGTTGTGATGACAATAGCTAGTACGGAATAATCATGAGTCAAGTGAGACAAGGTTTTTGGTTTTGTTGTTTGAGTGAAAAGAAGCACATGTATATTGTCAGCCTGCTGTTCAGATGTAGTGAGCCCAAAATTTTGAAAATTTATTTTGTTGCGTTACAGTTTCGTAAGTTGTGGTATGGCTTGTGCTCAAGAAATATTTTGTCGAATTCAGCGTAAATGTTGAAAAAAACGTTTGTTAAATTATTTTTAAAAAGATACATGATGTAAATACAATTTTTTTTAATGAAACAATTTTTTTCTCTCTTCCGAAAAAAATTGCCTTCTAGCCTTGAAATAGTTAACAAGATGAGCGACGAAATCTAAGTACACATATAAATTAGGCATGTGGATTTAGCAGGCGCTTGTAGGCATAGTAAATTCTTTTGATATGCAATTTTTTTATAGCTACAGCGGTTGCTATAGAAACGGCCACCATCTTGAAAATTACCAATGAATTTCAAATCCCTAAGGCTTTCTTATTTACTGACCAAATTTGGTGAGAGTATACCTGAACTATGCCCGTGCAGGTGGTGGGGCCACATAGTTTTAATATGGGGGAGCAAAGAATAGACCTGCCGTGATACTGCGTGTCGTAAGAGGCGACTAAAAGTGCAAAGGTTTGGTCGCCCGAAAAGTGCCAGTTTGCAGAGGGCCAACTACCCAACCCAGTAAAAAACAGTAAGTTACAGAAACATGGACAAACACAGCTTTTTATTTTTCGATCTTGGGAGACGGAGGAGCTTCTGCATCAGCAGGAACAATGAAGGACTGCAGACAAAGCCGAAACGACTCTTCTGACCCAAAACCTTCTCTGTCGAACAAGTCTCTCCGGATTGCGTCGTGGAATATTCGCACCTTGAATGAAGCAGGAAAGAGTTCTCAAGTAGTACAAGAGATGAAGCGATACAGGCTGCACATACTAGGAGTCAGCGAAACACACTGGATACAGTCTGGACGGAAGCAGCTCAGCTCGGGGGAACAAGTATTGTATTCTGGGAGGGAAGACAAGTACCATGCGGAAGGAGTCGGAATCATTTTGAGTAAGTATGCACAGAAGTCACTTAGAGGATGGGAACCACACGGGGAAGGATCTTCATGGCTTCGTTCGCTACAAGGAGTAAGAGCATCAACTTGAATATAGTACAAATCTACGCCCCAACAAATGATGCTTCGGATGAAGACAAGGATGCCTTTTACAGCCAGCTCCAGGGGGTCATCGACAAACTACCAAGGAAGGATGTTAACATCATAATGGGAGATGCCAATGCCAAGATTGGTCAGGACAACGTGGGGTATGAAAGAATTATGGGACCACATGGCTTGGGACAAAGGAATGAGAACGGTGAGCGATTCGCAAATATATGTGCTTTCAACAGTTTTGTCATTGGGTGTTGTTTTTCCCCACAAGAGGATTCACAAGGCCAGATGGAGTGACGGAGAACCAGATAGATCATTTTTGTATCTCTCGTAGGTTCAGGCGTTCACTGGAAGATGTCAAAGTGTTGACAAAACTCAAGGTTCGACTCAAAAAGCACGGAACCAGCACAGGAATCAAAAGAACGAAGTTCTCAGTAAGTCTCTTGGACAGACACAAGAAAGAAGAGTTTCTGCTGCAGCTCAGGAACAGATTTCAACCTCTGGCTGATCTTGGCTGAGAGGACACGGAGGTGGATATGCACTGGACCGAGGTCAAAGAAGTCTTTACATCAACCTGTCAAGAAGTACTCGGTGTGAAGAAATGGGAACACAAGGAATGGATTAGCCAACACTCTTTGGATTTAATTAGGATAAGAAGACAGCTGAAGGCAGAAGCGAATGCAAGTAGAACAAGAGGACCAAGAGCAGATGCATTGGAGCAGTACAGGACAACAGCTAAAGATGTCAAGAAATCACTAAGAAAAGACAGGGAGGAATTCATGAACAGGCTGGCAGAGAAGGCAGAGGAAGCAGCGATAGGAGGGCACATGCGAATCCTTTACCAGACCACAAGGACACTTGCTGGAAAATACGGGAAAACTGAAGTACTAGTAAAGGACCAAGAGGGGAAAACCATTTTTGGAAAGGAAGCTCAGTCCAAACAATGGGTTGAGCATTTCAACAGTCTCCTGAACAGACCACCACCGAGTAACCCACCAAACATACTGCCAGCAAGAAATGAGTTACCAATCTGCTGTGGTGCTCCTTCAAAACAAGAGATTCTGGATGCCATTAAGAAGCTGAACAAAGATAAAGCGGCCGGCCCTGACCAGATTCCACTTGAAGCCCTAAAAGCAGATGCCAATGTGACAGCAGACATCCTCCTCCCTCTGTTTACCAGGATCTGGAATGAGAGCAAGTTCCCAAAGGATTGGAAAGAAGGACACCTCGAGAAGCTTCCAAAAAAGGGGGATCTCAGCAACTGCAGCAACTACAGAGGGATCACTGTTCTCTCAATACCAGGTAAGGTCTTCAACAGAATCATTCTGGAGATAATCAAGACAACAACGGATCCAAGACTACGGGATGAACAGGCTGGTTTCCGGAAAAATCACTCAACCACCGACCAGATTGCCACGCTGAGGATTATTGTGGAGCAGTCCCTGGAGTGGAACTTCTGGCTGATCGTCAACTTCCTTGACTATGAGAAGGCTTTTGACAGTATAGACCGAGCAACACTATGGAAGATAATGAGATGCCCCGGAATCCCACCATAGTTGGTGAATCTTATGAAGAGCATGTACGAAGGGACAAGTTGCAGGGTTGTACATGATGGCCAGCTCACTGACAGCTTTGACATCAAGACTGGTGTGAGACAGGGATGTTTATTATCACCGTTCCTCTTCATATTGGCAGTCGACTGGCTGATGAAGGAAACCACCAGAGGACACAGAAATGGTATACAGTGGACACCATGGACACTGTTGGACGATCTAGATTTTGCAGACGACTGCGCTTCTGTCGCACGCCCAGGAACAGATGCAAGCAAAGACTTCAGTATTAAACAGCCTATCGGAGTCTGTTGGATTGAGGATCCACCCCGGAAAGTCAAAGGTCCTAAGGACAGATGCACAACGAAAGGAGCAGGTCACAATAGAAGGAAAGGCACTAGAAAACGTTGAATCATTCTGCTATCATGAGAGCATAATTGACAGAGAGGGAGAAATAGGTGCTGAAATAAAGTCCCGCATTGGGAAAGCACAGGCTTCTTTCATATATTTGGACAGGGTTTGGAAGACCAGAGATATCTCACTTCGAACAAAGCTGAGGATTTTTAATTCAAATGTGAAGTCGGTCCTGTTGTATGGATGTGAGACATGGAATGCATCACAGACTTGCATATAAAGATGATCCAGGTTTTCTTGAACAGGTGTCTAAGAAAGTTGCTGAGGGTCAGATGGACAGACAGGGTCACCAATGTGGAAGTGTTAAGGAAAACAAGGCAGATCCCTGTCAGAGATGAGGAAGGAAGAAGTCTGTGGCGCTAGATTGGACATGCTCTCAGAAAGTCAGGCAGCTGCATAACAAAGAAAGTTTTGGATTGGAACCCACAGGATAAAAGATCAAGGGGAAGACCGCGTGGAACCTGGAGAAAAATCACAGAAATTGATGAACAGAAAAGTGGGAAGACATGGAATAACATCGAGAGGCTAGCCCGGGATAGAGAAAGGTGGAAGGTGTTTGTCCGTGGCCTATACCCTGGTGCAGGGTGAGAAAGGCAATGATGATGATACCTGAACGAGACCCTATCAGTGTAACAGCGAGTTTTTTTCAATAAGTGCAAAAGCAGAAAAAAAAAGAGAATTTTCACAAAGTGTAACAATACCTTTTCTAAATTTTGGTTGTGTAATTGCTTGCCAATGGAAAAGTGTTATTTTTTTCACAATTATCTCTCAGTTACATTGATGCCATCTATGTTTCCTGAAAGTTTCATGTCAAAAGGATGAAAACTAATGAATGAGTATGAAAAAAACTGCAAAAAAATGACATTTTGTGAAAAATGACAATTATTTTGAAAATTCACTATATTAGCCCACCCCCATGTTTTCAAAGGCAATTCACGAGGAGAATAAAGAATTTCTCAATTGTTTCCCTGCTATTTTTAGACACAGAACTGGTTGATCTTCAAAAAACAGTCACTTCTCAATGTGCATAGCCTGACCCCAAATGGGCAAAATCAAGGGTCGCTCCTCCCCTTAAACAGCTTGCAGATTATATGTAGATCTACACAATAATGATCATTTAGTGTTGGAGAAAAACAAGAAGGAGAGGCAGAAATGACAGAGAGGTAGAAAAGAAGTAGGACTCTTGGTATATCTTTATCTTTTTAGGATTTAAGATTTATAATTGTCTACATCAACTGCATGTTCCTTCAAATAATTTTTTTTCTTGAGCCAAGTCATTCATGAATGTTGCTGCAAAAAATGTTTCTTCTTTAGTCTTTGTTTGTGAAAGTCCTGAGATCTGCTGGTTGAATGGGCTAAGTCATCTCTATCAGAATTGGTCTCATTGGCAATAGCAGAAGCCACAAGGCATCTTAAACCCGTATTTTTTGTTTCCCGTAATAAGAAATATTCTTTTCTGCAGATGGATTGGTTATCACTTGCCTTTGATGGACAAACTATTATTATTTATTGAGCATTATTTACATGGTTTATTTATGGTCGCAATTTTTTCTAACATCCTCCCCTCCCCCTCCCCCAGCTGCTGTCGGAGAAGACGTTAGACGGTCAGCTGTCAGTGTCAGAGGTCATAGAACGACACAACCTGTGGATGTTGAGGGACACGTCTGTAATCGAAGCCGCTGTAACGGACGTCTTCTCCCGCAATCCAAAAATGGTACAATTTTCTGTTCCCTTTTGTAGTCATTTTGTAAAATAAGTATTCCTCCTGTAATGTTTAGTTTCCGTAGCAAATAACTCACACAGGACTTGTGTCCATTTTTTGTCAGACTTGAGACGTCTCTCCCATCCTATAAGGGCACAAAATGTTTCCCGCTATAGTCTCATGACTTCACGGCCCAGAACCTAGCGTCGATTTCTGACTTTGATATTGTGCTCTTTGAGTTGTTCAAATGAACCAGACCTGCATCTTTGGTGTAGCGGTTAGGCGCTCTGTTGTCGCATGCCAGAAACCTGAGTTCAATTTCCAAGTGGGGAGAGCTCTTTTTGGTTTTCTTGGTCCTTCTACTGGGATATTGATTCCCTATCAGCCGGGGCTGGCAGTGTTGAAGTCCCTTTCCTCAAGGATCTCTGTTGTGTCTATGATGGTGTAAAAGCGCCTACCTTAAAATTTTAAAGATTCAGGGTTTATTTGTGTGTGTGTCGGGGTGGGGGGGGGGGGGGGGAGGGGGAGGGGTGTGATGACAAAGACGTGTTGCGATGAATGTGTAAGTGAAGAAAAACTTTGCTTTCCAGGAAAATGGATGTAGAATAATCCTGTTCTGAGTGACAGTGCATCAAAAATTTGGAGATGGCCTCATTTCTGACTAAAGCAAAGCTCCCATCACTTTTTGGAAATTGTTATGCAATACTTATTGGCGGATATCTTTAGCTTAATATATTTATTGCTGTAGTTTGTGCATGTTCTTTCTGTTTTTGCTACAGATCAAAGCCTACAAGAAAGGCAAAGTGAATCAGCTGGATGTTCTGGCTGCCAAAGTGATGAAGAAGCTGGAGGGAAAAGCTGACAGCAGACTGGTGCTGACAATGGTCTCTGAGAGGCTCAAGGACTGACGTGTCCCTGGCAAGCTGTTCCTGGCCTTTGAGTCAATCTCAACTCTACGTGTGCATGTTGTGCACTGTTAGCTCAGATGATCTCAGCTCTGCTGGGACTAATATATGGATGACCCTGGTTCAAATCTTTCTAAGGAAATTTTTGAACTTTGTAAATGGCAAAGAATTTTCAGCCGCAGAACTCGTCTCTTCTCTCTCGCTGCAAAAAGATGCTCTGTGAGCTCAGATAATATCATCTCCTCCAGCATGAACATGTGAATCTGGTGCACTGAGAGTGGGGAATTCTTGAACATGAGTTGTTTTATCCCGACTGTCCAAAGAAAGCTGCAATCCTGGGAAAACAAAACTTTCCTGCTGTAGTGCTTGTAGAGTACACATGGTAAAATAGACGCTCTGTGTACTTAACGAAGCCAGTCTGTTGCTATAGAAGTGCTGGCAAAAGTAGATCTTTTTCCTTCTTTACCCAAGGTACTTTCTTGGTCTAGCACATGATAGTGAAGTTACAATGCCCGTATTACTCCTCTTCTTTCATTGAAGGAAACAGTTTTTTTCTGTCTCCTGAAAAAACCTTCTGGGTGTTCTATGATATAATACAGTGGAGTCCACTTGTAACGAGTCCTGAAATAATGAGAAGTCTGTTATAAAGACACAATTCTTAAACCCTGTTTTTTTCCTTTCTTTATCTTTGTAAATAAAATACTGCTATTTCGCAATCAGACAGTCACGCGAGTCGGTTATAACTATAACGGATGATTGCTGCTGCTGTGCACAGTGCACAGACCAATTAAACATGTTAAAACCTCACCGGTTGAGAAAGTTGTTGGTGATCCAGCGAAACAAAGAATGGGAGAACCCACACGAACCAACAATGAAGACGGGAGCGAATGAGTGGGGCGGATGTGGCATGTGCAGACAAGCAGAACGCATCGCATGATAGGCCAGCCCAGTCTAGATTATCTAGGCCTACTATGCCTCTCACTTCTCCGGTGAGGGATGGATAGGTCACAGTGCTGTGATAGTTGGAGTGAATGTGCCACGTGCGCAAGCAGACGGAAAGCACCACAGGGTGTGGTGGAGTGGGGGACAACACAGAGGGCGAATTAGTCTAGAGCCAGAGCCCTTTCTTTCTGATCGTAAACGCCGAGCTGTCAACACCGCTAGTGCTAGAGAAAGAAACCTGATTGGATTTTTGTTCAGGTAAGACCTAGAGGTCATGTTGTGCAAAATCATCATCAGTGGTTATACAAAAAGGAATAAACAGAGCACCAAATTCATAGATTAAGCCTACTTTATTATTTCCCTCGAATTCATTACTGGATCCCTTTAACGAGAATCCTGCTGCTATAACGGACATTTCGCACCAGTCCCTTCCCTCTCATTATAACAGGATTCCACTGTATGTGTCACGACGCGATGGAATCAGGCGCTAGTCAATTTTTTGACATATGGAATTATTGGTATCATTTTAAAAGCTGTTTATTTGTCTTGCTTCTGGTGAAAAAATATTCATATCATGAACAGAAGTCGAGGTATTTGTGATTGTAGGAGGTGGGAGTCACCCGGTTTCAGCAGTAAAACTACCGAGAAAATAACTGCGAAAATTTGGCGACTTCCGAAGCTTGTGAGTCCTTAGAAACTGCAAATTTACATTTTTGTGCCTTAAAAAATTAAATCAACATTTTTTTCAGTGAAATACACACAGAAATGTATTTTAAAATGGACCTTAAAGATGTTTAGTCAAAAATAAAAAATTTGATCAAAATTGCCAAACGGACTGAAAAATGTCAATATCTTCGATATCGTTGTTTTGACGAGCGCCTGATTTCACCACGATGCCTCACAAATATATTTAAGATTACAAATGTGGGTCATGTCAGCTCTTGGGGTTTCATTCTATTATTTGAAAAACTTTATTTATTGTAAATATTATGTGTGGCAAGACAATGAGACTGCAATGTTGAAGGCAGTATTGTTGTTTTTCCAATAAATTCATAAATCCTGTTTTGCTTGCTGTTTTTCTATGATTGTAGATTGCTTTGTTGTGTAGAGTGTAGTGCTACAAGTACTCTCTGAGTGTGTGAGGTCTAAGGACAACTGTGAAATAGTTAACAGGAGGAGCGACGAAATCTAAGGATGGTTGTGGCATGCACAGTAACTTACTGTGGAGTCTACTGAAACTGAACATGGTTAATCCAAAAAGGGTCAACTTCTATTTGAGCCACCTCTCTAAACCCAAAACTCGGCTAAACCGAATTAAGTCCCGCAGTCCCGTAGACTTTGATTTAAGCAGACTCCTCTGCAGATCTAGGACACAGTACTCTCTGTGTGTGTCTGTGTGTTTGTCACTTCGACAATCAAACGTCTGTCGTCCTTGTCTCTCATCCTTCTCCCCCATTAAACGTCTATCACCCTTATAAATTTATCTTCCTTCTTTGTTATCGAGCATCTACCATCCTTACCTTTCCTCCTCCTTTGTTGTGTTTTTTACTCTCTTGTAACACCTCAAATCTTCGGCACTTATTTGACCTTATTGCGTTACAAGTCCCGTACTACTCTTAAACTACAAAGAAACTGTCCCTCTTAAAACTCCTCTCTGGTTGCTTCTACTGCTGTGCCTATCGTTATGCAATTGTTTTGATCGAAATTGAAACCAAACTTTTCTCCTACTGTATTTTCTTCTCTTGGGAACCAACGTCTGAGGTTTCACGGTTTTTAAGCACTTTGTCGTCGCATGCAGGAAACCCGAGTTTGATTCCCGAGTGAGGTGAAATATTTTTTGAGTATCTGTCTTTCTGATGAGGTGTGAATATCCCTCTCATGAGCATTGATGGACCCTGACAGGCAAGGTTGAAGCCTGCCCCTTAACCCTATCTGTACGTCGTGTTTTACTATCGTATCCATATATATGACGTGGGGAACTCTGTGCCACCACTTTCCAAAGAGGAAATTTACTTGTTAATCTGATCCGTACGCTTTGCATAGCAGTCTGTCAAAAAGATTTTTTTTGGAGAAATACTGAAAGTTTCAAAGAGATCTTGGCTCTAGAAGTAGAAGTATTCTAATGTGAAGAATATCTGCGGGGGTACAAAATCCCCCCGGGGCGTACGGATAGGGTTAAAGAATCCAAGTTGTATCAACGGGTGTGTAAAAACACCTACATTTAATAAATTCTCTTGGATTCCAATCCAACAAATCCGACCGAGAAGACCATATGTTACATCGACATTATTGTTTCATTGTGTGTGTTTGTGTGTGTCTGTGTCTGTGTGAGGGGGGTCCTGTCCTTTTTTTGCCAAGGTCATAATATAAAAGGTACGTAAGTCTAAGTAAGCTGGTCTTGCAACCAGTCAACATCACACCTAAGCCATAGATAGTATGGCAAATACAATGTACACAACTTACTGACACTTGGACATGGACAAATTGCAGTCAACAAACATTGAACTTTCCCCCAAAAGTTCAGTTTTTGTTCAAATATTAAAGTGTGTGTAGTACATGTATTAGTATCAGAGTGAATATTATTTAAAAGTCAAAGCATGAATAAAGATAACTGAAAGTAAGAGCCAGCTGCTTTTACTTTACGTTCTCAGTAGCATCTTCCTTCCCCCTGTGTTAGCGTCTGAAAGTCTAAGACTACAAAAAACCTAAAACAACCCAAGTGATGATCTCAATAAGGGTGTTTGTCGGCCAGAGTAGCCAGTTGGGTTTTTTGTTTTGTTTTTTTGTTTAGAAAGCTTGCTCAAATCTAAGGGGGAAAAATCAGGCATTATATTTTATCTCAGTTTAAGGTAGTTTACCGTTTTATCGGATTTTATTTTCTCTGGGTTTACGGTAGTTTACTGCAATGTTCCATTATAAGCGAACTCGGCTGTAGCTGTTGAAATGATCTCAAATTGTTTTTAATTGACCCAGCCACGGAACATCCACATAGGGCAAAAGTCTTACATTTACACCACCGAAGTCCTGCTGCCATGACCCTATCCCGACACCTTTATTAGTCAACCATCTTGACATTATTATATTGATGTTATAACAACTCTTACATGTATTATGATTGTCCGTTCAGGAAGTGTCTTCGTGTTTTAAGCACACAGTCGTAACACCTCTACTAAAGAAACAGTCGCTATCCCTGCATGAGTTTAAGAACTGTAGGCCGGTCTCTAACCTACCATTTTTGTCTAAAATCTTAGAAAAAGTTTTCAATCTCAATTAAGAGCACATCTTGAAGAAAATAATATTTTAGAATGTTATCATTTGGCCTACAGAGCGTTTCATAACACAGAGACTGCACTTTTAAAAGTCCAGAATGACCTCCTTTGTGAAGCAGACGAAGGCAAAGTGTCTGTCTTGCCTTACTCGATCTAAGTGCTGCGTTTAATTCATAGATCATTCAATTTTGATTAGGGGATTAGAGGCCATATCTGGGACTGTTCTTGAATGGTTTGAGCCATATTTGTTTAATCGTACACAGTCTGTACTTGTAAATTTGGAAATGTCATCCATTTTCAGCTTGCAATTTGGCGTGCCTCAAGGGTCCGTGCTCGGACCACTCTTATACTTATGCACTCTGTATACGCAAAACCCTAAGTTAAATAATCAGGAAGCACGACGTTAACTACCACATGTACGCGGACGACACTCAGCTGTACAAGTCTGTTTTACCAACAAATTTCAGTTGTCTAGATACCAGCATGGAAAAATGTTTTGTGGAGGTAAAAATCTGGATGCTATCAAACAGACTTAAAATGAATGATGATGAGACCGAAGTTCTGTTTTGCAGTGCCAAACCGGGGATATTGCTTTGCAATTTTGACTATATATGTGTTGGGAATGATAACATCTTTTTCACAGATAAAGCGAAAAATTTAGGCGTTTATTTTGACTGCAAACTCTCTATGCACCATCATATAAGCCATCTATGTAAAGTAATTTATTTAGAACTACGCAGAATAGGACAAATGTCAACATAATATCTTAGTGTTGATTCCATCAAAACCCTCATCTCTTCTTTTGTCCTTTCACGTCTAGACTACTGCAATTCTTTGTTTGGAAACCTTCCCACTGAAATTTTAAATAGGTTACAGCGACTCCAGAACCAAGCTGCTCGCATAATTTTAAAGAAATATCTCCAAGAGCATATAACACCAGTGCTAATTCAACTACATTGGCTCCCGATGAAAGCACGAATTCGGTACAAAATAATTGTTCTTTGTTTTAAGTGCGTCAACAACATTGCACCCTCATATCTTTGTGATATGGTCATCGAAATATACCATCTCGGCCGTTAAAATCGGCGACGTAAAGACTTAAGATCTTCCCAAAGCAAAAGTCAGAGACTTGGAGGGAGAGCTTTTTCACACCACGCCCCCTCCCTGTGGAACGCTTTACCAGCTCATCTACGGGAGTCTACCACTTTATAAAAAAATTTAATCGGCACTTAAAACGCATTTGTTTCAGTCCAGCTTCAGTCTGTAATTTCCAGCATTCCCATTACAAATATTATGCTCTACCAGTATCAACATGTAGTAGACTATGGGCTACTGGAACCCCCCCTCCCCTGGGGATTTTTGCTCACTATGATTTTCTGAAAGAGCACACTCAGGACTACATACAAAAAAAAGTTTGCAGCAAAATGTTGGCAATCTGCGGAGTCATTGCCCCTGA